AGTGTGCTCCACCTCCCTCTGAGACTAGGGTGGCCCAGGCTACTGGACCGGGAGAGAGTCCCTTGTGGGTGAAGATGAGGTTGGCAGTTTCCTGTCTTGTCAGCCCTCCTCTGTGGCAGCTACTGCAGAGAGCTGTCAACAAGCAACAGCAGAGGACTTCCTGCCAAAAGAGGAGTCGTGGCTCAGAGAAGCCACCCAGACACAGAGGTATGGACAGGCACATAGCACTGGGGTATATGATTTGTGAGTGTTCTGTGTCTCACCTGGAGTTGGAGAAAAAAAATCTACCTCTCTGTGCTCAGCTTCCCATTCAACAAGTCTGCATCTTCACGTGCTTTGTACTCCCCAAACACATACATGTGCTGACACACATATGCATACAACACACATGTGCACATACAGGAGACCACATGTATACATGATCAAACATATGCTCATGACACACATGCACATACATAAGACCACAAATACACATGCATATAACACATATGACACATGCTAATACGTAAGACCACATATAAATAGGCACATAGCACACATGAACATGGAACATGTGCATATGCCCACACTATCCACACATGAGCACACGAGTACTTCACACATGTGTACATAGTATATTTGCAGGTATACAAGTATTCACTTGTATACATATGCACATAGCATACATGCTCATGGCACACATGTGTACAAATTCACAACTGTGCACACAGCACATACGTGTATACAGTATACATGGCATACATGTATACAGGATATGTGAAGATACATTCCTGTGGCATAAATGTACACACATGCACACATACACATACACACAAGGCATATACACACATATGCACATATTCACATGCATAGCACATCTAGGCATACTAATACATGCAATGCATGCAAGAAATGTACACTCAGACACACAGAATGAATGCACATACATGCACATGGGTACATATAGATATGTCAGGGCACTGTTCAGACTTCCATAAAAGACTGAAGTATCTTCATCAGATTGACCCTCCACTCATGCAGCCCACTGTCCCCCAGCTCGCAGACTGGTACGGACTCTCCTGAGTTGATGGGAGTGGGCACAGGGTGATGTGTAGGACTGGTTCACATGCATTTGGAACATACAAGCATGTGTGGCTGTGAGTGGAGTCTGATGGCAGAAAAGTTTTTTTCAGCTCACACCCCAGCAAGGATGTGGAAGCCCCCTTGTGCCTCATGGAAGGCAGGAGCAGGTGACAGGAGAGGTGGAAATTGTCTGCTTGCTAGAGAGTGGGGAGGGTCATGCTGCCCCTGAGGTGTCGAAGCTGTGGCAAGTTCCATTGTCACCTTGGTTTACAGGAACTCTGGGAACAGGATGAGGATCTAGTCCTGTGTAGTCTAACTGTTGTTATAGCTAGAGGTCCCAGAATATCCAAACAGCCCAGTGGGGTTCTCTTGGGGTGTTTCAGGTGCTAGAGCTGCCAGAACAAAGCTCTGCACCAAGTGGCCCAAACAGCAGAGCGCCGTTCTGCCAAGGTTCTGGAAGCATTTGTCTGTGATCAGGGTGAAGGCAGGAGCATGTGGGCAGGGCTTGTCCTTCAGAGACCAGGAGAGAATTGCCACACCTCCACCCCTGGAGGTGCTGGTCATCTTTGATGTTCCTTAACTTGTGATACATCACCCAGATCCCCGCCTTCATCACAACCTGCTGTTCACATTGTCTCTGTGGCCACATTTCCCACATCTTTGAGGATATCAGTTATCCTGGGTCAAGGGTCTCCCCAGTCCAGTGGGACTTTATCTTATTGACTCCTGTCTGCTACCGTCTTACACCCACAGATCCCATTCTGATGCACTGGAGGTTAAGACTTTAGAATATGAATTTGGAAAGGGACACAGGTCAGACCATCGTGAGGCTACAAAAACCATCCCACTTCCTTAACATCTGAGTCTAATAACTTCAAGACTTAGAACTGGGTGGTAGCTAGAGGCTCACACTGGAAGCTTCAGCTCTGCAAGTCATCCCTGTCACCTCTGTCCAAACTCTGGAACTGTTGACAGGCCATGACCAAAGTGGAGACAGGGGTGAGGGGAGCAAAATACATTATATGGATTGGAAATTGTGCAGGGCTGGCATGTGCAGGGGCCCCACAGGCTTAGAGGATGTGGATGATAGAGTAACAACAGCCACCTCTTGTAGGGGAGGGCTTTGGGAAGGGCTGAACGGAGCCAGGCTTGGCCTGGAAAGATGGGCAGAAGCAGACACTCCAAAAGATTAACCAGAAGGACCTCGTAGTCATCCCAATGCCTGCCCAGTCCTGAAATTAGAAAGAGGCAGCAATGACAATATGGAAACTCAGCCCCATAAACAAATGGGACTTGGAACAGCAAAGCCAGTATGGACCAAAGGCAGCTACTGCTCACACAGAAAGCAGAAATAGACTCGGCCTATCATATCTGAACACAGACAGGAATATCCTAGCTTCCCCCTAGCCAGGGCTATGTGGAGCTGAGTCAGGCCCATTCACCCAAAGCTCCTCTTTCGGCCTACCAGAGGCCAGACATACCTATAGAGCAGAAGTTGCCACAAATGTTCTATCATGAGCGCAGGCAAAAGGTTTCTCCAGCTTTCTTACAGCTCATTTCATTACCCTCCAATGCTAAGATTCAGGTCCCAGCGTGGCCTCTAGCCAGGCTTAGCGGACAGAGTTAAGCTTCCCAAGCAGGAGACCCTAGCTTGCTGATGAATCCTTCTGTTTTCTCATCTATAAAATGGGAATGAGACCCCTTGTGCAGGATCATTGTAAGATGAGAGATTCCACACATGCAAGGCTTGGCCCAAAGGATACACTAAATGGGGATTATCGTTATGGAACCAGCAGAGAGTTCAAACTGGGAAGTCTCTGGGAAGCAAATGTCATCGTCTTACCCTACAGAACTCCCAAGTAAGACTTTTGGTCTTGCTGGATGGGCTTTTGGCTCTTTTAAAAAATCCTTTGGGGGAAGCTGGGAGTCAGTAAGTGCTTGCCATGCAAACGTAAGAACTGAGTTTACAGTCTCAGAACCTATGTGAAAGCTGGGCATGGTGGTATGTGCCTTTAATCACAGCAACTGGCAAAATGGGTGTCCAGGTCAGGTGGACCCCTGGAAGCTCACTGGCCAGCCAACCTAACTTACTTGGTGACATTTTAGGCCAATGAGAGACCCTGCTGTCCCAAACAAAAAGTGGGAGGTGCCTGAGGGCCAACAAGGTTGTCCTCCCCTGACCTCCACACACGCATGCACACACACATGCATGCACACACGCACACACACAGGAACACATGTCCATTCACACACACACACACACACACACACACACACACACATACTCTTCCTCTTGGAAGAGCCACCTTGCTAGGAACGACCTTAGCAATACACAGAAGACTAGCCATTTGGGAAACATGATTTAGCATTACGTGGCAAGAATGTGCTGACATTTGGCTCTTTCATTGTTATTAAGTGTGAATTCTAAATTTGAGGTTTTGTCTCTTTTAATTCATCACTTGTAAATTGGGTTTGTTGAAAGTGCATATTTCCCAAATGCTAATAGCTCCAATTCCTCATTCAGGCTCTTGAGCGTATGAGAAGAAATAAAACCCCAGAGGGTCAACAGGCAAGGGAAGAGGGTGAGCAGGAGATGGAGCAGCAAAGGCAGTGGCCTTGGAATGGACTCACTGGAGGCCCACTCAGGACAGACATACCTTGGTGGGGACAGCAAGCAGCCGTTCTGTCTTCCTTCCACTGGCTGAGACCCAGCCGCCCAACCTCAGGCCAATGAAGACCTCAGAAAATCCAGCCAAACCTGGCAGCGGTTTCAGTTCACACTGTCCCTCCTGTCCCTGGGCCTCCCTCATGCAAGTAGCCTGGGCAGCCCATTGATGCCCTAGGTGGGAGTAAGCTGCCAGAATCTAGCTCAACTCAGGTCCTGGCCTGCCATGGCCCTTCTCCATTCTGGGTCTCAACTTCCCCATATGATGATGGGCAGAAGGGAGGTGATTTAGGATCTCCATACTCTCCAAGTTTTATGGGTCTTCTTGACCTTATGCAAATGCTGGATCATTTTCCAAGTCTGTCTACAGGTTCTGGGCAGACTTAGGTGTGAATACGTATGACTAAGGCGTGAATAAAGACCCAAGAGTTCTTACTGAGCTCACAGCCTGGAATTTGTACCACTTAGTGTGAGTTCCAAGGGTACCAGGAGAAAGCTAAGCACAAAATCTTGAACACACAGGCTATATCTTCCCTCCCTCCAGTAAATGAAGGTTACTTTCAGGTCTCCTGATTTCTGCTATTGTCAGAGGCCACCAGAACACCAGTCCTGGGACAAGCCCTCCTCTCTGACAGATGCTTCCCTGCAACAGAACATGCTTAGAGCTTCACAGAATGTTTGCCAAGTGTGTTTCGGCCCTGTCTCCCACACAGCCCCCTCAGGAAGGCAGAGCCACGTTTGAAGCAGAGCCAAACTTGACTCTGGTGGATGAAAAGATCATAGAGGCAACCCCATCCAACCTCTTCATTCTGTAGACAAGATGTGCAGGTCCAAGGAGTGCAAAGGCTTTTCCAGGTTCAGGAGTAGAGTTGAAGCCAAAGCCAGGAGATCATTAATCATCCACTTCTTGGTTTGAGATGCAGAGTCAGACAGAGCTGGCTTCAGATCCTGCCTTTGCAGTTGACTGGCCTTGTGAACTCAGGCAAGTTATTTAACCTTCTGGAGCGTGGATGCACCGCACGTAAAATGGAGGTAGTCATGACTAAGTTTCAGGGCCGTCACCTTTGTGCTCTGTTGACACAGTTCTTAGAACAAGTACCTGATCAATGCTCATCGCCATCCTGGTGTAAATCATTATCGTTGTCATGGTTAACCCAAGGAGATGTTCTCTGAGAAATGGAACTTGGTCGGGACTCGGAGAGAGCACTGGCCATGGATACCCCCAACACAAGTTCACTGCCCCCCTCAGTAATGCCCTTCCATCTTTCTGCAGGCTGGTAGAAATCTTCTCCACGGTGCCCATTGGCTCCCACTGGGGGGTGCTGTCCAAGTGCTTGGCTTACAGCAAGGCTGCATCCGACCCCTTCGTGTACTCCTTGCTGCGACACCAGTACCGCAAGAGCTGCAAGGAGCTTCTGAACAGGGTCTTCAACAGACGCTCCATCCGCTCCGTGGGCCTCACAGGTGACTCTCACAGCCAGAACATCCTGCCGGTGTCAGAATGAAAGACTGAGCTCCTGTTGGGGAGTTCAGAGTGAGGTGGCCAGGAGCAGGGGGAGGTGGCCTGGGGCTCCTAGCTAGACACCGCCTGGCAAGTCCAGTGATGCTGGTATTCGAACAAGGTTGGGGTTCTGCTTCCTGGCTCCTCCAAGGCAGATGTTGGATCATCCCTGCTTGTCACCAATGGATGGCCAGGGGCCATGCTCTGGCCTTTCTGGGAGGATGATTTGATCTTTCAGACTCACCAAATTCCTCCCAGAAGATAAAAGGCCAATCACTGTCAAGGATGCAGAGTGCTGGTGACAGGTGTGGGGCATAACACCCAGCTGTTTGCTAACCCCTGGACATGAGACTCCAGTGAAGGAAAACTGTTCTCCAAGGGACATTTCAGTCATGCTGAAAGTGAGGCTGGCAGTGGCCATCTGGCCCCAGATCCAATATGGTGACTCTTCTCCACTTGGTAGTGGTGGTTGCTATAACCCAAATATTATCCAGCTGGTGCCAGCTAAACAGTGCTCAGCTGAGACCCCCGAACTCTGCACTCAAGGGTGAAAGTGTTTAACAACTAGTGGCTACCAGATGGCTGCCCACCAGTTGTCTTAGGAATTATGGTAAATTGGATTCAATTTTTGTCCCTCCTCCACCGAACTAATGTTTGTGTGTGTAGACAATCTTAGCATGGAAAGGGTCTCAATAGGCAGGTGATAGGTAACGTTAGATTCTCTGAAATCTGAACAGGAAGTGCCTCCTTCTGATTTACATGCCATAAATATGGGAACCAGGTAACGTGAGAAGAAGGGGGCTAGTCTGTGCCGCCTCCCAATCTGTGACCTGATGTGGCAGGAAGTACCTCCTCATGTCTTAGATGTCCTGTTCCTTATATCCTGTGAGGTAGATGAGAGGCACTGACCAGAACAGAAATGCAGCCTTGGCTGTCTGACACTGGGTTCTATTATCCTGGTGTTTCAATATCCTCCTTTCTGTAAATCTGTCCTCAGAAAGACGGGGCTGTCTAAGGTCACCAAGAAAGTGCTCTGCCCACTGATGAGAGAGAGAAATTACCGTAGGCTACGCATATGTTCCCATGATACACACACCAGTCCACTAGGAGCCACTGTTGATTTCATTAAAAACTAGATAAGGGCTGAAGAGGTTGGCAAAGCACTCGCTATCCAAGCCTGAGGACCTGAGTTCAACCCCCAGAACCCACATAAAAAAAACTGGGTGTGATGGTGGCCTGCACTTGTAATCCTAGTGCTGGAGAAGCAGAGAGAGATGGGCTCTCCAGCTCCCTAGGCAAATCAGCGTGTTCCAGGCCTGTTGAAAGACCCTGTCTCAAAAGTAAAAACAGGGTTACAGAGATGGCTCGGCCATTAGGAGCACTGGCTGCTCTTGCAGAGGATCCAAGTGCAGTTCCCAGCACCCACATGGCAATGCACAACCATCTATAACTCCAGTTCTAGGGGATCCAACACCCTCTTCTGGCCTCCACAGGCCAAAGGCACACATATGATGCAGATACATACGTACAAGCAAACATTTATGCACATAAAATAATTTTTAAAATCTTAAAGATTGGCCACTTGAAATTATCGATTCCTAGAAGTGAAAAAAAGTGACAAAATTAATGATAGTCTATGGGAATTATGACACATAATTAACTCAATCAATATGTACATAATTGGGGTCCCCGAAAAAGGACAGGAAAAAAGAAATGAAAACAAATAAAATAAGGTGGGTGACAGCTGAGGAATAACGCCTGAGGTTGACCTCTGGCCTCCACATGCCTGCACACACATGTAACCCTTACACACACACACACACACACACACACACACACACACACACGTCCAGTGGCCCATACCATCTTCCAATCCTATTATATATCATTTCAACGTGACTTGTGAGCACTCAGAACAGTTATTTCTCAGTCCTGTAAACAACTCCTCTGGGTGGATAGGACAGGAAGATGGTTCGTCTCCGTGTAGCTCCCCTCACCCTAGCTTATAGGTGTGCAATGGGAAGGTGCTATCCATCTAGAACCAGATTGGGAGAGAGCTTGTTTTTACTGTCAGGAAGCCCATGTAGTTGAAGGCTGAGATGTGCCTGCTTGTCTGTTTGAAAAGATGACCTTGCATTAACTCTTAGCTCTTCATTTTAAAAACAACTCAGTCAGGCCTAGTGTTGTCTGGTTTCAGAGTTTCCATGGAGACCAGGATGGAGACAGATGTAACATCTAAGGAGGCTTTTGACATTGTTGCTGGCAGAGGTATGTTCACACCTACCTTGTCAGAGATGAAACCAGGCCTCAGAGGGGCTCCTCAGACATTTGTTTGGACCTTGATCAAGCTCCCGTCAGTCTTCTGGGTGAGCTGATAGGGTATGTCCCTTCCTTCCTCTTGATGAGGGATGTCACAGAGATACTTTGAAATCAGCCATGGTTGGAGTTTTTGTACCCTGAAAATAACTGAAGTACTGTAAATCAGGCCTTTCCCATAGAGAGCTGCTCATTCCCCATTTTCCAGCACAGCACTGCCAGGCATTTACCACTGGAACAAAACCATTCTGGTTTGTCAAGAGTCCACTTGGCCCCTCTAGCTCAGATCATGACAGTCACTTTTGTAGAACTTGCCTAGAGACAAGTAGCTGTCCACCCTCTGTTGTCCTAACTCCCAAAGTGCCAGGGAAGTTGAGATCAAGTAGCAGCCAGGACAGCATGCAGAAGGACTCATAAGATCCTACCCAAGAGGTGTCGCAGCCCGGTGGGTGAGGTCAGTAACAGGCGAAGTAAGCCACGATATTTGCTGCACCATGTTGGTCTAGAGGGAAGGTTACCAGACTCTGTTTCCGCTTGCTCTGTACAGCAACATATTGCATTCCCGGTAGCAGCTAGTTCCCTTTGTCCCTTCCTTAGCAAAGAAGCAGGATCTGCCACCCACAGCACCACATATCGGGAAGGATGCATGCCATAATTTTCACGATGCCTCTGAAACTGCTTAACATCTAATAAAACGAGTTACATTGGCATCGTGCCAACAAGAACCCCAGATAAGTCCTTTGATGGAGAGTTTTCATTATCACTTAGACCCAGACATGAAAACCCAAGGGAGGTAAGGAGGGGAGGGCTCCACTGGCAACCAGCACCAGCCAACGCTGCCCTGATTACCTTCCATAAATGTTTATAGTCATCTCAACACAGTCTCTGGAACTCACCCCCTGGGTTCACTGTTCCCAGTTGAATGATCTACCTCATTTTGGTAATTTAATTTATCAAACATTGTGTGGTTTTCTCAGGCACCATGCAGAGAAGCACCAAGACTTCTGGCCTCCAAAGACTCTTGACTTCGGCTAGTTTAAGGCTCCACATTTACTGTGTACACACTCTGGCTTACAAAGGAAAGGCCTTCCGATTCCCACATCTACACAGAGGGCTCCATTTCTGTTCTATACATACTGTTTGCCTTTTATAATCACTCTGCTGCCATTCCAAGTTTACCTTGGGTCCTTTATAGAAGGTCGGGATTTCAGAAACCTGGGAACCCTGGGAACATAGGATGCTTGGTGAACGTTGAAGCAGTTGGGTCTGGGTCCTTTATGGCTAGCTAGCTTCCCATAGACACCTGTCTGTGTTCCCTTGGGAGTCAGGCAGGACTTGGGAACTGGTTTGACTTGAGTCATCTTTCCGTGCTGTGTTCCTCCAGGCCTTGGCTCAGGCTCCTGACACCCTGAGTAACAAGGTTACGTGTGTTTGTGAAATTCTTTTTCTTGTCCATGTGTCTTTCTTCCGAGAAAAGATAGAAATAATGAGGCCATGCTTGTGTCCTGATTGTTACCCCTTCCCAGGCTTAGGATGCAGGTAGTTGTCTGTGCTAACTCTTCAGACTGTCAGAGGAACCAAAAAGCTATGTGCTGTCGGCATTTAAACACAGGGTACAATAATTTGCCTGCTTTTCCTGGGGACATTCTGTCAGGTGCCAGAAATCCCACAGATCAGCTCATCCTTTAGCCCACGAATGCCGTGAGGTAAGATTCGGAGAGTACAGGTCCCCACTGTCTTCCTGAGAGCCGGAGAATCTGAGTGGGGGAAGTGGCTCATACACGTCTCCATTCTCGTGTCACAGGTGTTGAATATGAACTCCAATGTATCCTCCCCAGAGGTGAACTCAAGCAAGCTGGGGAGGACTTGGGATTCTCCTTCCAAGTATCAGTACCCAGGAAGCTGTCTCAGATGGTCTTCAAACTACTCCCTTAGGAAAAGTGATCTTGGATGTCTTGATAAAATAGAGAGGGGTACCAGAGGGGAAGGGGTTTAAAGATAATTAAAACGTTGTGTATAAGATACACAAAAATTCAATAAAATTTTTAAAATCTAACCAGCACAAAAAAAGAAAAAAAATGCATAGAAATCCAAGTATCTCCAAATGTTGAAGTTGCCCTTATCTTGTAGCTGTTTACTAATCCTCCAGAGTTCACATCCACTTTATCCAAGAGCTAGTTATTTCTGTTCTCAGAAGAATAAGATGGTTTTCTCCACAAATCCTTGAAAGCTTGTTTTCAGACAAACTGTCACAGAGCTGGGGCTGCCCCTACTCACCTGTGAAGGCATTCCCCTAGGTCCTTCCTGGAGAGCAATCACAGAGGGTTAACAGAAGGGGCACTTTGGGGTGTCACCGGAGGATGCTGGGCTTGGAACTCATGTGAGAACCTGGGCCTTAGCGAGCGTCCCTCAGGACTCTTACTTGGCTCTTGGATAATCTCTCTCTCTAGGCAGCTTGGTTCTACATGATGGTAATATCTGATATTTGTCTTGCTGTCCAGACACAGAACTGGAAGCAGAGTCAGGCTGAGGCAGGGCTGGAAGAGATGAATCTGAATGCCAGTCCTGGCCGTGGATCTTTCCTATGAGCTTCTAGTTTCCTCAGTGTGACTGGTCCTGCCAGCTACTCCCCTGCCCCCAGGAGCATCTGGTAGTGACGAAGGTTCCTCCAGCGATTGTGCCCCAAGAGATGCTCAGCACCAGGCACTGTGCTGAGAGCAGGAGCACCGTTTCCATTGACCGCTGTGATAACTTAGGAAGGTGATACTAGTTTCATCGCCACTTTTAGGTATTGAGGGCTCATCGTCAACCCCAGCCAGCAGTCCCATGAGCATCAGTAGGATGCAGCATTTTCTTGGATCTATGTGAGCCTCCTCATTCCCTCCAGCAGTGGGATATACACAGGAATGACAGACCGAGCAGGTTGTGGGGAGAGAGTGAAGGAATTCAACATTGACAGTTTGCTCTCCAAGGTTCAGAGGAGAAATCTGTAGGAGCAGCACTCTTTGCATGTCCCCCCTACCCAGCCAGCTCTTATTGTCTCCCATAACCAGGTGGCCATTGGCTTCTGAGGAGCTTGTCTGCTTCCTGTCTTTGCTTCTGGCCTGATCTCAGGAAAGTGGCAGGCATACGTCAGATTCCCATCGGTCACTCCACACTTCTGTAAGCCAGCACCTGCTTTGCCAGGCCCTGGAGGAGATGAGTGTCTAGACGGGCCCATGTTAAGGGTGTGGCTCGGTGATATGGGGTACAGAGAGGCCCGAAGAACTTACCTGGAGGTCCTGGGAGGCTTTGATGAGACAGAGAGGTTTGGGCCAGAATGGGCAATGGGGCATGTGGCAAGACACTGGAGATGGGGACCAGCCTGGTGAGAGGCCATTGGGGCGGGGCTTAGTGTGCATCCAGGAACAGTGTCCAGTCGGGTGGGACTCAGGATATACCCAGGAAGAGCGTCCATGGTGCTCAGAAGTGGGCAGTTCTAAGACAGAATGAATGTCATCTGCAGTCAGCAGAAGGCATTTTGAAGAAAACTGACCCTTCCTCCCCCAGCAGCCATCAACTGCCAATAGCTCCTTACTAGGGGTGGAGCTTCATGAGCCCCTCCCCCATCCATGGTGGAATTCTGTCTGCCTTGATCTTACACAGGTCTTACGCAGCCCACTACAGCTGCCATGAGTGAATATGTGCACTGGGCCCATCATAGCCAGAAAACACTGTCATGAAGCATTCCTTCTCATCCTATGGCTCTTACCATCTTTCTACTCCCTCTTCTATGACAATCCCTGAGCTCGGGGAGCAAGAGGTGTGATACAGATGTTCCATTTAGGGCTGAGCACTCCACAGTTCCCTATTCTTTATAGTTTGACTACATGTGGGTCTCTGTATTAAGTGCCATCTACTGCAAAAAGAAAGTTTTCTGAGGGTTGAGAGCTGCACTGATCTGAATGAAGGTACAGGGAAGCAAGAGCCCAGAGACCAACATTTATTCCCAATGCCACCATTCATTCTTATTAATTTATTAACTTATTTATTTAATTATTTATTTTTGAGACAGGACCTTCCTATGTAGCCCATGCTGGCCTTTTACTTACTATGTAGCATAGGCTGGCTTAAAACTTGCAGCAAAGCCTGCAGCAATCAGCCATCCTCAGCCTCCTGGGTGCTGGGATTGCAGGCATGCGCCACCACACACCATCATAATTCATTCTTAAGAAAGCGAATCCAGCCACGTTCACCAAGGGCACCTCCTCTGACTGAATCCCAAGTGGGGACAAATATGTGACTTCATCTTCCATAGGGGATCTATGTAGATAGATACACCGCAGCTAATATCCATGGGCAGTCTGAGGGGCACTGTCACCAGCCCCTGCAGTCAAATAGAAGACCACATATTGCAGGGGCAGCCATGTTGCAAAAACTGTCCTCACATTTCTTAGGCATTCTCTCTCTGGGGTGGGGGTGTCACACAAATACACATCTCACATTTAAAGGTCAAATATAAATGAAATCAGTAGTGGAAGAGTGCTGTTTATCACGCACATCCATATTTAAGGACTTTGAAAATAATTTGAATTTTAGAGTCAAAAGCCTGTGTGCACCCCTCTGATGCATATGCTCTTAGAACCCCGATAAGTGGTATTTCCCATGCCCCCTTCCACATATTCCTTGAGTCTGGGCAGTGCCCATCATACGTACTCCTAAGTAAGGAAGTTGAGCCCATGGTTTAAGAGTTTAAAATCTCTGCGTTTGGAGACAAGTGGTCTGCTTTCACTGTGAGAGTCATAGAGTCATCCTCAGAGCCTCAGGGGCTAGAAAGCATCACAGTGACATGTCTCCAAAGTGTCTCTGTGACTGGAATCAGGTCATTGTGAATGCTCAGGGCTGGCTGGCTAAAATCCCCCATGCCCAGCCCCCAAGCACCCAGTCTGCCATTGCGTTCCTTCAGTCCCTCTATGACCAAACCTTTACTTGAATTATTACTAGTAACCAAACCCCTTGCTCAAAAAAGCTTCGAATGCCAAGTTTCCTTACAGACTGAAATCGTTCCAAACCTCAACAATCCTGTTTAACAACAAATGTTTAAATACAACCTCTTCTGAGCACAGGGACACTTGTGGGGTATGGTGTCCTGCCAACTCCATCAGGACCTCTTCAGGGGAAACCCAGCTCACTCTGGGTTGCAGGCAGCTGTAGAAGCCCAACATCAATCGAAAAGTTGCCTTTCCCTTCCTTGTAGGCAGCCTGGTTAGCTGACTCAGTGTTAGATGGACCTCACTTTGTTTTCTAAGGGCTTCTAAGAGAAAGAACTCAAACCTTGCCATCCGAGGATGAGCTTCTCATTTAGTGCGGAGGCTCCTGGGTGGCTGGAAATCTCTCTCTAGGTTTGTGTCCTGTGTAGTAATGACAGTAAACACTGTCAGCCATGTCTGTCTGCCTTTCCTTTCTCCCCAAGGAAGCACAGGGACATCATTTTGCCTGGAATCTAGCAAGAAAACCATCACTTTCCACAGGTGAGAGGACAGCTTGTTGAAGACCCCCCCTTAACATGCCTTCCTGGATGTTCCAGGTCATGAGGATGCCAAAGACCAAAGCCTTTGCATTCCTGCATCTCCATAGACTTCCTTTGTTTTTGGTGTTTGCAAAGGAAGGAGGGGAGATTCCTGTCATCTATAGTTTGAAACATCCAGAGAGTGGTCAGTATATGACATATGGGCCTGAAAGTAAGGAAATTTCCAGTGTGTGATAGCTGGGTGAGTAATCCATGTGGAAATGCACTTCCCGTCTGAACACTTCAGGAATACTTCTGGAAACTAGAATTGAGGAAAATAGAATTGTCCCTGTCCCGGGACAAAGTGATCACACTTCATTGGTTTCTGTAGTGTTGCAATTCCTCATACCAGAATCTTTGGAAGATGGATGGCACTTGTGTGTGTTTGTGTAGCCAAAGCTCCAGTCAGCGTGCCCATGAGTGAGTGTGTACATACAGAGGATGTGCAACACAAACAGTCGCACACTGGCATCCGCACACACAAAAGAAGCAAAAGCTTAGCATCTTGTAATGATTCCTAATGACGTTTTGACTTTGCTTTTCTCTAATTTATGAAACAGAAATACATTTCCACTTATTCTCAGATAAAATATAACTGGTAGCTTCCCCCTCCAATGTGGAAATATTACCTTTTGTTTGATACACCCGCCAAGAGTTGTTTTCTGTTGAAATGGAACTCAAGAAATTTGAATCCAAGGCCAACGCTGCCTGCTCTGTTTACAATGGCTTGTGTTTTGTGAATATATATCAAATGTTGTAATATATTTTTATGATAGAATTGATGGTTAATACAAGGAAAATACACACATATATATATATATATTGTGATTCTGTCCAATAAAGACTCCTATTATAAAATGTCACCTGCACTCAGTTGAACTAGTGTGTACACATTTCACACTAGGGCCTTTTGTATTTCACAGTGGTCCCAAAGTTTACATTTGTTTTCTCCCCTGCCTTCTGGTATTATCCTCTTTACCAGGCCCCTCCCACTGCCTCTGGCCTCAAACAGCTCAAGTTTGAGGTATTTATCCTTTGGGATTGTTTCTTAATTTGCCTAAACTCACAGTAGCCACCCACCTCCAACACACCTGCCATGGGAGAAGCCTGTCCCCCACCACTGCCAAAAACCATGTGTCTTAGATCATTTTGTGTTACTGTAACAGAGTCCTTGAGACTGCATAATAAAGGACAGTACTGAAAACAGGGACGTACAAGGTTGAGGGGCTGACATCTGACAGAGGCCTTCTTTCAGTGTCATAACATGGTGGAAAGGTATCGTGGGAGGGGAGAGAGAGAGAGAGAGAGAGAGAGAGAGAGAGAGAGAGAGAGAGAGAGAGGTGACAATGTCCTGGGTTCTTAGGCAAGTAATTTCTTTCCATCTTTCGGAAATCAGTACTATTTCCTAGTTTGAGGATAAAATTTGCCACATTCTAGTTGTTCCAATGAGTACACTCACCTATCTGTAACCTCCAAAGGGGCAGAGATCCCAACCCCTGTGCCCCATACCTACTCAGAACCCATTACTTGGTCCAAAAATAGTGAAACAGGAAGGAGGTTGTGAGGGGATGGGATGCCCTGGTTAACAGTGGCTGTCTTCACCACCAAGGGTCACCCCTGGGGCCACTGCAGGGGTAAGGTGCTGAGTAAGGATGTAGACTGCTACTGTCCCCCATACACCTGCTGTGTTCCAGGTGCTGTGTTTCGCACATCAGTGGCATAACCTCTGAATTCCCCCACTGCTCATGGGAAGATGGTATTATTCCCAGCCCTGTCTTTCAGTAGAGGGCCTGCAGGCCTGGAGGAATGTTTGCAAGGTGACAGGCCTTCTCTGTGAAGACTCTGGTTGGCCCCTCCCTTACACAGGGACTCTTGAGGAAGGCTGGTAGCTCCTCGTTATCAATATTCATACTGTTCTTTCTTGCCCTGGTCTCCTCTTAGCTTCAGTTTTCTTTCCCAAGTTTTCAGGTACTTCCACTCAACCACGGTCCAAAAATATTAAATGGAAAATTCTAGAGATAAACAATTCATGTGTTTTCAATTGCACACGGTTCTGAGGAGACTGACGAAGCCTACACAGCACCCTGCTCCCTCCCACTAGGAACTGTCGTGGCCCTTTGCATGCAGGGCTCCCATGGTGTCCATACTACCTGTTCATGGCCACTGAGTGGCCTCCTCACTTGTCAAATGACTGGCAGGGCACCATGGTGCTTATGTGCATGTGACCCCTATAGTCCTTAATTCTGGGTCCCAAAACACAAGAGTAGTGATGCTGGCCATGCCTAAGAGAAGCTGTAAAGTAGTTCATTTAAGAGAAAAAAAAATCAACTTAAAGGAAGAGAAAACCAATGACCTTGTGGTGAGAAGAAATCTCCTCTTGATGAAATGGTGAAGAGGAAATTCCTGATAATTTTTTCTTTAAGAACGGGTCTCCCTGTAGCCCCACCTTGCCTGGAACTCACTATGTAGACCAGGCTGGCCTCGATCACACAAAGATCCACCTGCCACTGCCTCCTGAGTGCTGGGATTAAAAGCACACACCACCACACACCAGCTAATTTTGCTCCTGCACGTAAACTGCAAAAATGAAGTATGTGGTACATAGTAAATGTTTGGTGCAGATGAACAAGGCTGGAACTTCTCAGTGCCCTCTGTGGCATCAGCATCCACTGGGGGTCTTGGAACAAACTCCTAAGGGTAATGGGAGTGGGTCACCAAGTTTCTCATTCCTCTAATTTCTGGTAAGTTTAAGATGGCTTTATCTTTGGCAATTTTGTACTTGTATATAATGTATTTAAATCATATCCACCCTCTGTTTCCCCTGCCAAGATGTATATTTATCAGGGCCATGTTGCAACCCGGCTTCTAACTTAGTTCCTCTGCCTTTGTACAAGTCCCCCCCCTCTCGCTCGCTCTCTCTCGCTCTCGCTCTCACTCTCACTCTCTCGCTCTCTCTCACACCTCCAGTTTTCCCACCTTTAAAAATAAATCTGGAGTGAAAATTTAGACACAGAAATCGATATAAAAGGAGAACATTCGGGAATAGACCGATACCCAGATGATCAGTTGGCGCCGCAGAGCCACTTGCTAACACAGTTCAGCAGAGAAGGGAGAGTCTTTCATCAAACAGTATGTGCTGGAATACCTAGATACCCACAGTCCCATATAAGCAAACCTTGCC